TTGGAATCACCTTTCTGGTTTGGCTGGTATTTTGCACAGAGCAGTGAGGTTTCCCATAGTAAACTCTTTGGCTCTATTTGGCTTTCAGTAAGGCAGGTCCATTCCTCTTTTCCTCCTCTATGGAGAGAGCGATAGGGATTAGGCTGGAAAGTTACCTTCCAAAAGTGAGAAGGGAATTAGATGCTGCTTCAGAGCTATGAAATTATTTGGAATGTTTTACAAGTGGTTACTGTAACAGATAATCACAAAATGTGTACATCACAACAAACTTTTAAAGACACTTTTGCCTTGTGCTCACATCCCCTTAAATGCTGTTCCCAAAAGTGCTCAGCCTCTAGCCTAGCTGGAATCTCTGGGAAGAAGCAGAGACAGTTTGGTGAAAAATACAAGGGGTTGGGGGTAAAGGGGGTGTTCAAAGGAGAAAGCAGCCTTCCAGTTAAAAGATCAGCCTTCAGTTTCAAGGGCAGCTTCAGGCTGGCTGGCCTCAGGCAGAGTCAGGGTCAGAGGGAGGAGCAGCACCAGCGCGGGACTGGGGAGCTTAACCTCTCATTCAGGTTGAACAGAGTCTGGTCCAGCATGTTTTGTGTATGGAGGTGCTCCTCTTTAGTTAGTTCATTTCAGCTAATCTTCCAAATCATCAATTGTCTTTTCCAGTTAGGCTACCGATCTCTGCAAATTCAGCACAGGTCTCTGCCTCCTTGAATTATCAGTGAGAATCTTTATTTCTTCCTCGTATTTGTCTTTTATTAAGAGTAGTTTTCTTCAGCAACATTCAGACACTTCAGGTTCTGTTCCATCAGTCTGATCTGCTCATCCATCTCAACAACAGGACTGTGCCAGCTCAGCTCGTTCCTCTGGGCATTCCAAGTGATCACTAACTTGGGAGCCACCTCTTCATATTTCCTATCTGCTTCTTCTGCAATGTGCTTAGCTTCTTTGAGTTGATTTCTTGGAGTTCCATTTTTTCTTTATCTTTTAGGGCCTGGTTTTCAATAACCTTCATACCTCGCTCGCTCACATCAGCAGCCTTCTCTAATTCCTCCAGCCTTTGCAGGGCAGTAGCTAGGCATTCTTGAGCATGGTCCAGCTCCTCTTGGACCAGTTGGATCCTGCAGTTCAAGGAGCGTACCTCAGCCTCAGCCTGTTTGTTCCTGGGCCCGCCTTTGTCCCTCAACTTTCCATTGGAGGCACTCAGTCCTCTCTTTGGCGTCATCTCATTGCTGCTGCAGAACCTGGATCTTGCGCTTCACCACCTCCATGGTGGTGATCCTGGCCATGTTTTCACCCAGCCCCTTCTCCATATCTGCCTTCTGCCTTCTTTAACGCTTTTTTATGCATCTATTGAGATCATGTATTTTTAAAATTTTTTTAATAAGGTGAATTTCAGTGATGATTTAAAAAGCTCTACTTAGTTTTGAAATATTATCCTTTTTATATATTGCTATGTTTATACATTTATTTAAAAATAGTAATTAGAATTAGTAAATTCTGAAACATTTTAATAATTCAGTCAACAAATTCATGAATTACTGTGTACCAGACATTATTCTAGAATGCTGAACGAAACTGTCCTTAAATTATATTCCTTTGTGCAATATAATACAATGTAAGGTAGTGATGCTGGTAGAAGAGAATGTACTAGAAGAGAATGGAGAGTCATGAAGTAAGGGTTTCAAGTTATTTTAAATATATTGATCAGGGAAAGACTTAAATCAGGTGACCTTAGAGCAGAAACATGAATGAAGTGAGGGAGGTAGCCATCTTATTTGTAGAAAAATAATAATTATTTCAGGCTAAGAGGATAGCAGGCATAGTCACTGAGTCAGAGGGTTGTATTTCAAGATTAGCACAAAGGCCAGTGTTTCTGGAGTTTTATATAGTAATCCATGGAGAGAATTGTAGAAGATGATGTAGTCAGAAACCTAATAATCTTAAAACTTTGTAGGCCATGGTAAGCACAACTTTGGATTTTATTCTAAGTATAGTGGCAACTACTCATTTATTCACCAGACATTTATTGAGTACCTGATATACATCAGATATTTGTTTATATTGGGGATACAGTAGTTCTTAAAATAGTAAAAGATCTAAGCCTTCAGAGAACTTGTGTTACTGAAAAGTATATATAATATGAAGGTAACCAGAAGCGATAGTTTCAAATATTCAATTGGGAAAGATTGTTATATACAGTGATTATGTATATAAACAATTGGAATAAATCCACTTACATTTTATGCTCAATACATGAAGGAGACATACCTATTTTCATGGGCTTCTTTTGATTGCAAATTATAGAGACTTATTGCAGACTAGGATTTTTTTTTTTTAAATAAGGATACATGTAGGAATAGGGTATAAAAGGACTTCATAGAAATCCTAGAATTGGGGCTGTGATATGTAGGGGCCTTTCAGAGTCTAGAACCTAAAATTTTACATTGATAAACAAGTGAATTTGTTATCTGTTGATATGTAACAATATCAAAATTTAGTGGCTTAAAACATTTATAGTTTTTGGGATTTGTGAATCTAGACTTAGCTGGGTACCTCTGGTTCAGTCTTTCTGACCAGGTTGCAATCAAGATGTTGGCAGGAGCAGCAGTCATCTCGGGGCTTGACTGGGGAAGGATCTACTTCTCAGATAGCTTACATGGCTGTTGGCCAGAGAGATATCATTTCTTTGTCATATGTATCTTTACAGCTCAGAGAATGACAGCTAGCTTCCTTGAGTGAGAAAAGGTAATAAGATGGAAGCCACAGTTTCTTTGTAACCTAATCTCTTGAAGTCACATCCCATCATTACTATTGTATTCACTCATTAGAAGTGAGTCACTAAATTCAGTCCATACTAGAGGGGATTACACAAAGGCGTGAATACCAGAATGTGGGGATTAGGGTCATTTTGGAAGCTGCTTATCATATCAATTAAGCCATATGTGTGTGTGTGTGTATGTATATATGTGTGTGTGTGTGCGCGCGCGCGTGCGCAAGCATATATATACATACACACACACCACATATATAATTTTATTCTAGTTCTCTACCATAAATGGGCCTTAGCCACACTTAATCTTTTTTAAAATTTGTTTATTCTAATTTGTTATACATGACAACAGAATGCATTTCAATTCATAGTACACATATAGAGCACAATTTTTCATGTCTCTAGTTGTACACAAAGTGGAGTCACACCATTTGTGTTTTCATATGTGTTCTTAAGGTAATGATGTCATTCCACCATCTTTCTTACTCCCATGCTCATTCCCTTTCTCTTTTTCCCCTTTGCCCTATCTAAAGTTCCTCCATTCCTCCCATGCCCCCCCATCCCCATTATGGATCAGAATCCTCATATCAGGGAAAACATTCAGCATTTGTTTTTTTGGGATTGGCTTCCTTCACTTAGGATAATATTCTCCAACTCCATCCATTTACCTGCAAATGCCGTGATTTTATTCTCTTGATGCTGAATAATATTCCATTGGCCACACTTAATCTTGCATTCCTTTTCCCTCTCTTTTTGCTGTCATCTGTATTTCTTAACAATCTATGTATCTTTTTTCTATTTCTTATTTTTAGTTTTTCCTAAATGGTATTTTCACATTTGAAACATTTTTGTTAGGTGGTTAGATAACAGGAGCTCTTGCTTTGTTAACAATCTACATTTCTCATATTACTTTTGTAATTGAGTAAATGTTTAGTGACTATTTGGATGTCATCATCTGTGAAGTGCTTTCTTGCCCTATCCTTTTCCCCATTTGTAGTTCTTTATATATCCTGGTAACTGATATTTTGTCTGTTGTATATGTTGTAGATATCTTCTTTTAGTCTATTACTTGCTTGACTTTGTTTGTGATGTATCTTTTTTTTTAATTAATAGAAATTTTTCTTTCTTGGTCATTTGTGATAGTTTTTATAAAATAATAAAAATGAAATATAGTGAAAGCTAGTATCTGGAGACACACAATATGAGACTGTAGTAATTATCTTTTGTGTGGAAACAAAAATTTTGGAGTATCATAGTTCCAAAGCATTAGCTATCTTTAAAAACTATGATTGCTAATAATGTAAAAAATTTTCCCTAATAGCCTTCATAATTTTTAATGGTACTATGTCACCTTTTTCTTTGAATCAGAAAATATGGTCTCAACTCTTCCTTTTGATAAAATCCAGTAAAAGTTATTTAATGAGAGGATTAATCATTAGTGATCATCTGGTACAATAACGAGTATTTTCCAGGCAAGAATAATGCCTTCTACAATGATAACTGATGAGTATTATTTGTGAAGTGGGTAAAAATATTTTCAGGAATAATTTATAGATTTTTGTAGATTATATGAGTTCTGATTATCACATTTTTTTTATTTCCACATTTTTATATTATTTTTAATAGCTATGAATTTATATGTCTTTATTTGAAGTTTGGTTCACTTAGGTCTTATGAACAAATTATTTAGTACATTTTAATTGTCATTATTACTGTTCAGGTTGTGAAGATTAAGAAATGGAGGTTTAGAGCAATTTATTAGTAAAATTGATGCTTTTTGTCAAAATTATGGGACTGAATCACATTTTTAAGTATGATGAGATTCTGAGTTGGAATTTTTTTCTTTGACTTTTACTAAACCTTGTCAAAAAATTGAATTCTGAAATGTAATCATATCCACAAGTACTTGTTGAACACTTGTTGTGATAATGCAATTTTTTTTTGTAGTACAGTCCTGTGGGATGATACATGGCCTCACATATGCTAGACAAGTGCTCTACCACCAAACTATATCCCTAACCTGATATTGTACAACTTTAATTGGAATTTTAGATATTAGGCCCCCAGTCACAGTGAATAATAGCTAATCCTTGTAATAATGTTGGAAGTTGGGAAATAAAGGACCTTGATTCTATTCACATTTTAATCAGAAACATCAAGAAAATGTTGCCCTTGGAAAAGTATAAGCATAAAACTTTTTTTTTCTAGATATTTGATCATTATTTTTACATTATTTTAGGTTTCCAGTAATTATCTGCAGGGATCGCCATGACCCCAGCTCTGAGGGAAGCAACAGCAAAGGGTATCTGCTTTTCATCTTTGCCAAGTAACATGGAGTCTGACAAGATGCTATGCATGGAAGGTCCAAGAACTGTAGATGAAAAGCTAAAAGGAGACACTTTCTCTCAGATGCTGGGATTTCCAACTCCTGAACCTACTCTTAACACTAATTTTGTGAATTTAAAACATTTTGGCTCCCCCCAGCCTTCAAAACATTATCAGACAGTTCTTTTAATGAGTTCTAATTCTACATTAAATAAATACAATGAGAATTATAAACAAAAGAAATCAGGGGAGCCCAACTGCAATAAGCTGAAAAACATACTGTGTAATGGCAGCAACATTCAGCTCAGTAAAATCTGCCATTCTCATTCTGAAGAATTCATCAAAAAGGAACCTCTATCAGATACCACAAGCCAGGGCATGAAAGATATACAAATTATTTTGGATTCAAATCTAACCAAAGACACTACTATAGATAAAGTACAACTGCAAAAGTGTAAATGGTACCAAAAGAATGCACTTCTGGATAAAGTTACTGATGCTGAAATTAAAAAGGGTTTATTGCACTGTGTTCAAAAGAAAATTGGACCTGGCTACTCAAATGTGCCTATTAATTCCTCAGCTGCTGAGAAAGAGGAGGAAGTGAATGCTCGTTTACTCCACTGTGTAAGCAAACAGAAAATTTTACTTAGCCAGGCTAGAAGAACTCAGAAACATTTGCAGATGCTCCTGGCAAAGCATGTTGTTAAGCACTATGGTGAGCAAATGAAATTTTCTATGAAACATCAACTGCCCAAAATGAATCTCTCTCATGAATCTACCACAGTTTTGGATAACAGTTTACCCAAATGCACTGAAATTAAGCCAGAAGTCAACATGTTGACTGCAGAGAATAAATTGTGGGATGATACAAAAAATGGCTTTGCTCGGTGTACAGCTGCAGAAATCCAAAGATTTGCACTGTCTGCTACAGGGCTGTTGTCTCATGTTGAAGAGGGTCTGGATTCTGATGCAACTGATAGCAGCTCTGATGACGATTTGGATGAATATACCATTAGAAAAAATGTGGCAGTGTAAGTGCAAAATTATTATTAGACCTTTTTTTTCTGTTCTGTGTATGGCAGCAGTTAGTCTTGGTTTCAAGATATGTTAAAAGGAAATAGGCTTTCTAAAATCTTTATGCCATAATCTTTAATTTAAAAAACTTTGGTGAATTTTTAATATGCTCCATTTGTTAAGCTATTGTGTGTGAGTCAGATCTATGGAGGATTGGTTTCAGAACCTTCTGCAGATACCACACTCCAGGAATGCTCAAGTTCCTTATTTAAAAATATGTATATGTACCTATATATAGCCTGCTGTATACTTTAAATCATTTGTAGATTACATATCATCTACAATGTAAATGCCATATAAATAGTTGTCATATGCTTTGTTTAGGCCATAATGACAAGTGAAAAAAGTGTACATACCTCAGTACAGATGCAATTTTTTTCCTATATTTCCAATGTGATTGGTCGAATTGGCAAAAGTAGAACCTATACATACGGAGGTCTGACTGCACATACAATTTAAAAATAAATTACTCAACTATTCTATCTAGAAAAAATAATATAATTAGTTAATATAATATAGTTAGTAATAATATAGTTATAAGTAAGCATTCTTTTTATTCTCAAATATAATAAGGCGTAAACTTTGCTTAAGTGATCTAGCCAACATAAATAGCTAAAACAAACAAAAGTCAAGTCTGTACATAGAGAACCTTCATTGACTGTTATCAGTTGAGAGTACTTGAAATTGACCTGCTATTTTTTTCAACTATATTTTCATTGTATCATAGCTTTCAGCTTTGTTCTTTACCAACTAAATCAGTATTTGCTAGACTAAGAAAACGAAAACCAAATTATAATGTCAACTGTAAGATACCTATTGAATATTTACTATATGCTTGACACTAGAGATTAAGTTGTAGACAAAAATAATCACAGTATCTTTCCTCCTGAGTTTTTACATGAAACAAAACTATCTAGATTTTCTTTAAATGCAGCCCCAAAATACCCTTAATTGTAACACCATGATAACATTTCAGAACAGCTGTAATAGAAATTTAAATTTCTCTGTCTATGGTATCCAATAGGCACTTGTGCCTTGTGTTGGTATTGAGTTCTTGAAATTTGACCAGTGATACTGAAGGATTGAATTTTGAATATTATTTGACAATTTAAATTTAAATAGCCAGATAGAAGAACATAGTTGTTATTGTTATTTTTTGGTACCTGGGATTGAACCCAGGGGTGCTCAACATTCCCAGCTCTTTTTTAACTTTTTATTTTGACACAGGATCATACTAAGTTGTTTAGGGCCTCACTAAATGGCTGACACTGACCTCCAACATGATCCTTCTGCCTCAGCCTCCCAAATTGCTGAGATTACAGGCAAGTGCCACTATGCCCAGCAGAACATAGCTTTTAATCTAGCTTTCAGGGAATCTGTTGATGCCACCAAATTGATGTGAATTACCGTGTGTATATGTGGCTTTTGGATGTAGAAAGTCCATCACTTTTTTACATTCCCAAAAGTGAATGTAACTCATAGAATTAGAAGGCACTAATAAGTATAAAGCAAGTTTTTATAATGAGAAAAGTACGTAAAGCAAAGTGAGCATTTTAGTCTTTTGGTGTCCTGATATCATTGTGATGGAAATTTGCTTGAATATAGAAGCCAATAATGTTATTGAGCACAGGTTATTCTTTTGGCTGACATTGTGCTTAGTTATCTATGATATCTCAGTTCTTTCAACAACCCTGGGAAGTAATTGTTGTTATCCTGATTTCACTTAGGAAATAAATTCGGCATGGTTAAATAATTTTCTCAAGGCCCAAAATCCAAATAAGTTGGTAGAGCCAGAATTTTGTCCATTTATGGGTGACTTTAAATCCATGTGTTTCTTTATACCATGCTGCTCTCTCAGCATTATATCATTGATTCTTACAGCTACAAGAATTTTTAGGCTCATGAGTTGAAAGAAGACTAAAAATTTGCTAATTTTATACTTAAAATACTTTTAAAATAATTTAGTTTAATAAAATTTACTAGGTTAATATAAATATTTATCTTTTATTGTTTAGAAGAGCTAAAAGCAAATTTACCTCCTTTAACTAGAAATAGAATTAAGAAAATTATATCTTCCCAAACTATTTCAACCTGTGATGCTATTTCTGTTAGTATTCTCTTTCATTTTGTTACAGCACTGTCATATAGTTTATCATCAAATCATGTTTTTATATGGTTTATAAATGTATCTTAATAACACAACCCCTATTAAGGGTAGAAATCAAATTTTTTACTTTTTGTTATTATTTATACTCCAAGCATAGTGATTGGTTCGTCAACATTTTGTTTTAAAAAAGACTTACTTTACTCCTTAAATTTAGTGAGAGAACACTGACATTTATATAAAATATATTCAGACATTTATATAAAATATACATAAATGAGGAAATCCAATTATTGAAATATGTTTTAAAGAAAATATCAAACAATACATATTCTACCTTTATTTATCTTTGGTACCAGGGATTGAATTCAGGGGCACACAACCACTGAGCCACATCCCTAGCCCTTTTTTGTATTTTATTTAGAGATAGGGTCTCACCGAGTTGCTTACCGCCTGGCTTTTGCTCAGGCCACTTTGAACTCCCGATCCTCCTGCCTCAGCCTCCCAAGCCACTGGAATTATAGGCCTGTGCCACCGCGCCCAACATATTCTACTTTTCTTGTCTACTCTGCCATTTCTTTTGTTTTTGAGGAAAAGTGAAGTAAAGTAGCCTTTAAAAAATTGGATCCTGATCTGGAAAATTTACTTTTCATACTTTATTTTTTCCCATAATCAACTGGAGAAGTTTTGAGAACTCTGAAATAGAGTCAATAAGAAATTTCATAACAACTTATAGCCTCTTAAGTTATTGACCTTTTAATATTATGATGAGTTGATTATTAAAGCTCATATCTATATTTCAGTAAGTCAAAGACTTTGTTCTAAAGTCAAACTCATCTAATAGATTTTTTATTTAACTAATACTAAATTCATAAAACTCTTTGAATTTTCTAATTCATTGACTTATTTGATAATTGTTGAGTTTTTTGTTTTTGCTACTCAAAATCTGTCCCAACATTTATTTATTTCATATACCTTACCATATATTTGTTTTGAATTTTTTACTTACAATAATAGGTATCTTGTGAGAAAGATTGTCTTTAAGTATTTAATTAATTTTGAAGTTGATTGAATTTGACAGCAAATAACAGGACTTTAATCATTTCTTTTGATGTAAGTATAAAAATAGTATCTGTTTTATTTAAATTGGAGTTAATCAGTTTAATTTCAGGTTGCTAAATTCATTTTTAATTTATAACATGTTAAGTTTATTTTTTCTTATTGTTATTTTTTACATTGCTGGGAACTCATTTTTCAAATATAGATGAATATTTTTAACACAAGGTTTGGAATTAAACCTTAAACATAAAATTAGAGTAAAAAGATTCATTTTACCTTCTGTTTTTCTTTGGCTTTATAGTCCTGATAGGAAAAAACAGTTTCCTTCACTTTAATCAGGAAATTACCTGTGAAGGAGTGTACTTGTTTGTTTTTTGTTTTTTCTTTTTCTTTTCTTGTTTTGCGGGGGTGTGGGGGGTATTGGATAGCACTTATATTTCCATTACCATTTTTATTTTAAGTATACATTTTATTTGCTACTTTTACTTTCAGGTCTTTTACATTCATAATGATACTACTTGATAGACTTTAAAAATAACTTCTGATTGAGAGGCTAGTGTGCATTAAAATTTTTTTTTAAAGTTGATCTAAATTTTTAAGTGAGTACTAACACAGTTAAATTTTCATTATTTTACTGTATAAAAAGACTTCCCAACTTAAAATCATAAGATCCCAAGTGGTAAATAACAAAGTTGACTTCAACTTAATTTTAAGCAATTTGACAGCAAGTGTCAGTTTTATATTGTTGTGTATGTACTCCTTAGAATTTCTTCTGTTTAGTAATTGTTTGGTATTGATTGAGTGAGTGAATGAATGTTTCTGTATTTGTTTATATAGCTGTATAGCAAAAATTGAAGTTGGAGATTTATGTAGTTTCTCTATATGGCCCTAATAATAACACTGCATGGTAGCTGCAACTTTCCCTAGTTTAAAGTTGGCCCTCTGTATTCATGGATTCTGTACCCCTAGGGTCAATCAACTACAGGTTGAAAATATTAGGGAAAAAATTGCATCTATATTGAACATGTACAGATATTTTTCATGACATTTTCTTCTAAATAATACAGTCTAATAACTGTTTACATGGCATTGACATTGTAGTTAGGTATCATAAATAATCTAGAGATGGTTTAATATATGGGGATGTGCATAGGTTATATGTAAATACGATGCCATTTTATATAGGAGACTTGAGTGTCCTTAGATTTTGATGTCTGTGAGAGTCCTAGAACTAATGCCCTGTGGATTCCAAGAGATGACTATGCTTTTTCTTTCATTCTAGAGTTGATTTATCTTTACCTAATGTTACTTCTCCGCCTTTCTTTGACTCTGATACCAAACTGGCCATAAAAATTATCTCGTACATCATAGACCTTGCATGAAAATGTGTTCAGTGAATGAATGACTAAAATATGCCCAAATATAGATATTTTAAATTATGACTTTAATATTTAACATTTGCAATTTGAAAATATTGATAAATAAAATCTATTATATTTACCTTCAATACTTACATTATATTATTATTGTATACCTTCTATTTTTTTTTTGGTTTTTAGTCCTGATAGGAAAAACAATTTCCTTCACTTTAATCAGGAAATTACCTGGGAAGGAGTGTACTTGTTTGCTTTTTTGTTTGTTCATTTTCTTTCCTAGTTTTGGGGAAGGGGGTATTACATTGCCATTACTATTTTTGTTTTAAGTATACATTTTATTTGCCCCTTTTACTTTTCCTCCTAAGATGGAGGCAATAGGTAAATTCATAATGACACTACTTGATAGACTTTAAAAATA